TTCCGCCTTGAGGCAGCCCGACTAGCGGGCGTGTGTGTGTGTGTAAACGCCTGTACATGGCGACTGCCGTGCACCTTTTTTTCTTCTTGCAGGGGGACAGGAGCTGAATTGCCTATCCTGTCCAACGAAGCTATGGCAAGTCAGTGGATGTGCAGCCTGATCAGCCGTGTGTGCTTGCAAAACAAGCTGCGGCCCCTGTGCCAGCAAGATTAGAAGGGCCCTGTGCCAAGATTAGAGATTCAGTTTTACACTTCAGCCGTTGCAATGTTTCGACAGTTTGCAACACCCTTGCTGTCTCGACCTCTTCTTTTTGCCGAAATCCATCAGTCAGTCAGTGTGTGTGTGTGTGTTGATTGTTTAGCGCAGATGGTTTGGGGTTTGGGTTGCGGTCCGCCGTTGTTGACCTCCACTGGGGTTGGCATTCTCGGCCATGGAACGAGACGAGAAGCCATGATGCTTCCACATGCTCAAAGCAATAAGACGCTTGCCTCTAAGCCCGCAGCCAAAACAGTAGTTAGGTGTGTGTTTTTAAAAGAGACGTTTGCAGCATATTCAGGCGATAGCTTGGGCCCATGGTCTGGCACTCTGGCAGTCTTTAGCAGTTCAGCATGGCTGCCATCTGTGTGGGGCCCTGAGCTAAATCGTTCTGGGCTTGACTGTTTCTTTTTGCTTTTCTATTTGAGCTTCTATCTTGGCTGTAAAGGTCTCCCTCCAAGCATCACAGCGCGTCCGTTCCGTTCATCCAGCGAGTTGAACCCCGAGATGTGTCGAAGGAGGCCGGCTCGAGTACGTCGAAGTGGACAATCACGCCGAGGCAGGTCGTCTCTTCAACAAGCTTCACTTTAAACAGTGTTTGAACGCTTCAAAACATGAACGTGTTTAAACGTGTGTCGCAGTACAGCGGATCTGAGCACGTTTGTTTAAACAGTTTCGTGCCGCCGGAGGGTGCAACTATTTTTGGACATGTCAGGCAAGGTGTTTACACGTGCATCGCTCGTCCTTGCACGACGCAGCAGGTGACACAGTGGCTGTTTGAACCCAGGGTACATGATCTTTTCAAAATATGCAGCACCCCGCACCTCGACCTGTGAGCCGTGGAGTTTGCAGGTTTAGCACATAGGTTTGTAGGGTTTGGGCTTTAGGCTTTGAGCTTAAGGTCTCAGGGTTTAAGGCCCAAGCTGTAGGCCAACTTGATCTAAACTGTTCAGCAAGGCTTCTCAGAGGAGTGCTTTTGGTGCAAACTGTTTCATCGCTTCGGGTTTAAAATTTGAGTCGAGGAGAGCGTCTCAGGGTGAGAGGTGGGGGTTTGGGATTTCTGAATTTTGATCCTTCTCATCGACTGGAGTTCTTGAGGTTACGGGGTCTGAAGTGAAGTCACAAGTTAGGTTTCAGGATTCTCCAAAGTATCAGGCATGAGAAGCCGGGCGCCAGCGCTGCTGGTGCTGCCGTTTCCGGTGCTGGCACTGGCACGGCTTCGGCGGCGACCACGGGCGGCGGAGCCGCGGCCGCGGCTGCGCCTGTCACGGGATTCGGTGAGACGCCGGGCCCGGGGGACTACGAGATCGAGGCTGGGACGTGGGACTCGGATTGGGGCTTTCTCGCTTCCTCCTTGAGCCTTGTCTGCCCAGGCGCTGCTGGGCAAAAGATCGCCAAAGTACTCGGCAGGGAAGAAATTCGAGCCTCGCCACCAGGATGTGGAGTTTGACTCCGACTACTTTTGGGCTTCAGGGCTTGCATGGTATGTGCTGGTGAGCGGAGCGAGCTGACCTGCATCCGAATAAGTTGCGGTTCGAAGTCCTTGAGCTGTAAGCCGGAAATCAACGCATCTCAGCCATCGCAAGCCCAAGCCTGAAATCTCAATCCGCCTCATCCTTCATCCTCCATATTTTAGCCCCAAGCCCTGGCCTGAACATTCGTAAACTTGGCTTTTAAGGACTCAGGCGAGGCCGAGAAATGCCCAGGGCCTGGTGACTACTGGCAGGCCTTTGGGTCTTCGAAGAAGCTGGGCCTTTGGCGGCTGTAGGGGCCCGATCCTATTTTGGGGGTTCCTTATTATAGTTAAAGCATATTGGGTGCCAAAGCCCTATTCTAATTTTTATGGCCCCTATACTACAGGGTGAAGGCGGTTCAGGGTCCTTTCAGGAGTTCACAGGGCCAGGGATTCGTGGCTTTGGGTTCCAACTTCCAAGGCCGAAACCTAGGCCGACTTCTTCCTAGCCCCAGCCTCACCCCCACGTGTTCAACACAGAACTCTTTGAGACCATAAATCCAGCTTCAGCCAAACCTCAAACCCCAAACTTTACCCCGAACAAAACAGAAGCCCCTCAACCCCAAGACGCCAGAACGACATGGTGGGCAGCAAGACTCCGTCCTGGCGCTTCGGCACTTCCGGTCGTGCCTCGGCCAGGAAAGTGTGCTGGCAGACGTTTTCTAAAGCGCGTCATCTGTCAGAAGGACCCAAAGGCCCAAAGGGGTAGAGAAGGCCCCTATGTGCAAGTACTGGTACCAATTGCTACTAGTACTACTCGTATCACGAGTATTTCCAGTACCAGTCAAACTCAGTCACTAACAGTAGCAGCACTCGTGATGGCCAGCAATATTATTGACTATTATGTCAATGTGCATGTACTTCTGCTCCGACGATCTGTCAAGTGATGCTGGCTGTGGTTGCCTTGATCAGGATATTTGTCTTGAGCCCCCTACCCAGGACTCACCTCAAACACAGCGTGCAATCCACTTTTCTTCTACAAATGTGAGGCACCTGTCTCATACCGCTTCAGTGAGTCGTATTGTGGTGGTGCTCAGAACAGAACTTACCCAATAGCGGGAATCATGATGACGGAGAGCACGAGAAAAGTGGTGCACAGCATTTTAATTACTACGCTGAGCCCACGAATATAGCATGGCGTGCAAGGGAAACCTGACCTCGGACCTTGCTTGCTGATACCCCACATTTGTCAGCACCGAACCCAGGCCCGGATAACGTCAGCACCGGGCAGCTTGCGACCCCGGGCCCCGGGGCTTACATGGTGTCCTCCACGGCCCGTGCCCAAGAGGAGTGCGGTCCTTCCCTTTTTTGCTGACATTTTCTGACCCATCGGGTGCTCCTCTCTCCTGCACTGACAGTTAGGATGATGACCTAGCCATGAGGCAGTTGCAGTGCCAACGGAGAGAGAGTACGGTTGATGATAGAAATCCTACAAGGGAATGCACCATAATTCCCATAGTTTAGGGTCCTCAAGGTAAGTCCTCAAGGTATGCAGGATTTCTATCATCAACAGTAGTGATAATACTGGCTTCGGTAGCGCTCCGCGGATGGCCTCATCAACAGAACGAGTATAGTCGCTTCAACATAATCGCAAGAATCGCAATCATCCCGAGCGTCATCATATCCATACAAGGGATTCGCGGTGACGGTTGCGTGAATCGTGAGATTCGAAGGTGCTTGAGCAATGGAAATGCTAGTGGTACTCTGTGAAATGGTTTCAAGCTTACATTCATCATCACCGGACAGAAGATGATGGTAGGTTGAGCTTGGCTGAAGGCTTGTCAGAGGAGTGATGATCGTAAACGGCATGACAGCTACAACAATGGCAATGCTAGCAGTAGCAGCAATTGGAAGAGGGCCCATCACACTGGAAGCCTCATGAGCCAAGCGACATCGTAGGCCAGAGTCCTTGCCTCAACCTCAAAGAATCTTCCAGCGTCCTGCTTGGGTGCCCCGAGGTGGGGCAGGCCCCCTGTGCAACGCTGAATCTGGGCGGCAGACCTGCGCTTGCGCTCACGTGCTCTTGAGTTCGTCCAAAGCAAGCTTGTCCACTCCAAAGTTGTGGGAGCAGGGGTTGGATTGTGCGGTTGTGGCCTCGGCATTTCCCACTCGAACCCTGCAACATCGCACTGCTTGGAGTACTACGAGCATTCTACACGAGTCTGCTTGTTATGGCATGCTACGGACTTCTGTCTCTTACGTCTTACGCTTAGCTCCGAGTTTCCGTATTTCCAATCTGAGCCCTTCGGCCAAGGAAAGGGCGACACGCCGGCTCGAGACCGGCGCCGCTACCTGGCCCAGGCAGATCTGACCCTTCGACCTTTGGTGCCCGGCGCACCCAAGCCGCCGAATTGCCCTAAGAGACCTCTCCTCCGCGCTTTGCAGGTGGGACTGTCGTTCACCAGCACTGCAATAAAGATCCCCGCAGTCACCGCCACAGTCACCACCACTGCCACTGCAACCACGACGACGACGACGACTACTACTACTACTTCTGCATTGCTACTGCTATACAACTGCTAGTGCTGCTAGTGGACCCCATGTGGAGAGCTTATTCCAGCCGCCGCGACACTGCTGGTTCGAGAGGCAGACATGGACAATGTTGCACCATCGTTTCGTATGCAGGAAGCATCCTATAGACCTTCGAACCTTTGCTTCCCGAGCGTAGTCTCAACTCTCTAGCCGCATGGTGTCCAATTCTCCAACCTCCTACCCGCTCTGTGTAGCCGAAGATCCCCTCCCACATGGCCCCACAGCCAAATCCTTGACAGGGTCGGTGCAACCTGGTACTCCCGCTAGCCCGACAGGAGCTCATGGTGGGCACTACTCATCGTTTGGCCACTTGGCCGAGTCGCTTTTGAGGGTCCTGCCTGTGCCAGGTTCTGGGTTTGAAAGCCGCAGAAAGCACCCGGGTTTTTGTGAAGGCATGGCAAGTATCCGAGACGTATTGCGCCGATGAATCCCTAATCGTCCTAATCAGCAAAGGAACACACCGAAGAACAAGATACATCAAAGACGTGTAGGAGACGAAGGAAGGTCTCGACACTGTTCACGTATGACTGTTTGAGCTGACCAAGGCATTCCTGGGATCTAATGCTTGTTCTTTCTTCCTGTTGGGATTCCTTATGTCTGGCTTCTTATGCCGCCGTGCAAGTCCCGAACCGTTTTCAGCACCATGTAACAATGCAGGAATGCGTTGCACAGCTTCTGTAGGGCTTGCATTAGGTGCCAGTATCTTCGAAGAACGCCTGAGGGCTCGGTGAGTCAACTCCCGAAACCCTGCCTGCCGCAAGGAAAAACTAGGAATCTTCAGGCCGTATGGAACTGGGCTCAAGGTTTGGGAACTATGGCGTCCATGTCCTTCAATTGGCGGTTCGAGGTTGAGGGAGGCGTCGGCCTTCTTGAATTCATTTACTTCGTACTTGGGGCGATTGTTTAAGCCTCCTCCTTTCCCAAGGCCCGAGTTGTTCGAAGCATCAAGTCTTGAGCCCCTTTAACTGCTAAGATCCAAAACCAAAGGCTGAGAGACTCCGGGCGCTTGCTCTGGCCTCGGAACGTCTGAGTTGAGCTTGGAGAGTCTGGGCCAGTGGACGTGATAACATCGACGATCGGAAGACGGATGAGACGGATGATGACAAGTCACGATCGAGAGGCTAATTATTTCGCAAGTCAATGGTATCAATTGCAGTAGGACTAGCTGACTAGCTCCGGTATGAGGCAAAGCAACAGCAGCCTTGCTGATGAACCGAAGCAGCTGTGATACCATCGCAATACCGGCTGTCAACAAGACTGCCGCTGATGATTCTGACTATGACGATTACTTTCTGCTGTTGCTGCTGTCGTTCTCCTCCTGTTCTCCTCGTCCCTTCCATCCTCTGTTCGTAAGGCAAAATAGCCGGAGGACGAGTCACCGTGACTGCTCCAACCTGCGATCGGAAGCTGAAGAGGCCTTACCTGGGGAAACCTTGAAAAGGTCTCCAGTCAGTCCCAATGTCTCACCAAGCAAAAGCCGGTCTGTCGCCGCAGCTGCAGCAAGCAACTTCTGGAGCAGTCCAGTTTTGGGCCTCCTCTAAGAATATTTTGTGGGTGCAGTGATGACGGCTATGGCGACTGTTTAAAAATGGCCCAGTTGGGTTCTCGAAGGTGCAGGTCCCAAACCAGCAAAGATTCACCGGTTCTTCGAACCCCTAAAGGTTTCAGGTTCTGGGGTCTGTGGTTAAACAATAAGTCTTCAAGCTCTACAAGGGTTGCTATAAACATTGCTACAGGGGTTTCGCGATGCTACAGGCTGATATGAGGGCTTTTTGATTTTAAGTGGGTTCCTGACATAAGTGACTGAGGCCGAGTTTAGGAGTAAACCTGACGCTCGGGTAGACTGGGATCGGGTTTAGGGCTTAGGGTTTAGGGTTTAAGGTTCAGCGGTTAGGGTTCAGGGTTTAGGGATAGCCCACCCTTTTGTCAACCTTCGCCATGAACCCGGCAGGGTCAAAGGCCTAAAGCGGCCTCGTCGGTGAGTTGCTCTCGTAGTTCGTCAGGGAATCGGCATTGGGGACACAGGCAGTCGGTGGTACCTGGCATGACGGCAGACCGAATGCCGAAGGATTGGACGATCGGCAGTTCTTTCGTTCTTAAGCGCGTTGGCTCGTTCGTAGTCATCAACATGAGATTGCCAAGATAAAGGGACTTCGCTAACAAACTCAATGACAAGCCCAATGCCACGTTCCCACATACCCGTGGCAGGTTTCGTCACCAGTAGCACGCGGGCACCAGGAAGCCAAACCCGAAGCCACCCGAGCAACTCTGTTGGGGGCTTCCGAGACCCGGCGCCCTTCAGAACCCTGGGCCCCTCCCGAACCCGAAGCCTTTCCTGGGTCTCGCCTTGCTCGCATGAACAGCATGCACGCGAGCGCCGGCCGCAGGGAAAGGCAAGTCGACTGCTTGCGGGGACGTAGGGGGGAAGTGCAGTTGCTAGCGGTCTCAGAAAGAACGGGGACCGAGTTACAAGTTAGCGGCTTGGGGTGTGAATTTTATGAGGATTTAATGTTTAGGCTTGTGGGTTGTCAGGCCCAAGATGTAGGATTTAGTGGGAGAGGGCTTTATTTCAGAGGGTTGCAGGTTAGCAGTCCATTGTTCAGGATCATGTGCCTTTAAATGATGTGAGCTCTTGGCCCTTCATCCGACAAAGTCCCATATGCCAGACCTTATCGGCCTGGTGAGCCGCATAAACTTTAGGTGGTTTTGGGAGTTTCAGCTGCCTGGTGCAGTTGGAGAAGGGCCCAACAAGAAAAAGCAACAACCTAAAGTTTAAAGTTCAGTGTTGCTCCACACTCCTTCGATCGAGCTTGGGAAGGCCCCCAAAGATGCAGGCTCACCGCAGGGCGTGGGCTTTCAGGAGCCCGGCCGAAAGCCTCAAATCCGCCAGAGACCAAGAACCCACCGAGAGATTCGACCCAAACCAAACCCTTTACTAAACCCCAAGCCAACTATCCACCAGCTGTGCTCCTGAACCGGTCTTCCTATGGCACCCGGCGAAGGCCCGGCGAAGGCAGAGTCTTGAAGTCCAGGATCGATCCTGCTTTCTATGGGGTCGATGTTGAGCTCAGCCTTGTTTCAGCTTTCTAGCCGGCTGAATACTGTCAGGAACAGGCGTGAAGGCCAGGGCATTCTGCCAGTCTGGGACCTGGGATGCCTTATAGCAGAGAGGGATTTTTCAAGATGTCGCTATGAATTTGAAGAGGTCGTTACAACGGCAGGAACCATGACAGCGAGAGAATCAGCAATGGTTGTCGATGGCAGCCGTCGGACAATGGTTATACTGATTATGTGAGGGGCAGTAGTTCTGTCGCCCAGCACTATTGAGAAAGTCGGTGCGGTAGCGCAACAGCAGAGTACCAATGACAGCAGGTACAGTAGGAATTGTAGCAGTTGCAGCTGCAGTTGCATCTGCCACATTTACAGCAGTGGCCACGACAACAGCAACAGACACAACTATACTGGTGACTAGTGACAGTTCGAAGAACAGCAGTACTCCACATCACATCGCCCTTCCCCTCAACCAGCAAACCTGCTGCCGGAATTCCCGTGCTGTCGGCTCGGTGTTTAGAACCTCCCTTGGGCCTTCTTGGAGGTCGAGGCGGGCCATTGACGTGCACTGAACAGCGGCTTGAGCGTTTAGGGTAGGTTTTGGCATCAGAGTACGGTACAACATAGTAAAACAAAGATAGTGTTACATCATATCATATAGTAGCATATAATAACATACAACACCATTTACTTTAGTCTACTCTTAAGTAATGTAAAACAACATAGTATAAGGAATTCTAGAATATAATACCAAATCAACCGGGTTCTGAGGCGTTAGGGCCGAGGAGGTGGGCCTTGAAGGTGATACTATGTGAATACAGGGACTGTAGGGACTGTGGTGAGGGGTTGTTTAGTCACGGGAATTGGGGTTTAAGGTTTAGGAGTTAGGGCTTAAGGTTTTTCAACCTAGTACTTTTTAGTATATATTATAGTACATTGAAGTATATTAGCATATTATTGTATATTATAGTTCGGGTTTAGGGTTGACTTGGCGCCTGAGCCTTGGGTTTGGCTTTCAGGTGTAGAGCTGACAGCGTCCGTTTGATAGAAGTTTGAAGCTTCAGAGCTGTACTTATAGCATTTACAGTAGGGCCTGCCGTAGGGCTTCAAGATTCCAAGAGCTCTGCATTAGGAAAGCCTAAGGAGAGCATTGTTCTTCCGTCGGGTTCCCGATCCTATTTCAACTATAATGTGCCCCAAACGAAAATCCGGAGGCGATGAATTGGTCGCCGCTGACGGCTGAGTGCTCCCAGGCGGTTGCGGACGTCCTGAAGGATGTTGCGGCTTGGCGCAGAGCCGAAGCCAAGAGACAGGTCTGAGTGCAAAGAGGGGACATGTCGCAAAGTTGACGATTCTGATGATCATCAGGGAGAAGATGAGAACGAAAACAAGATGAGGTTTCCTATGCCATCAAGATGATGTTTGTAATGATGACGATGCCTCCATGGCGACGGCGCATGCCATCGCTAACGTGACCACTGCCATTTCGGACAACAAGGGTTCTGGCAAGAACCATGTGCATGAATCCCAATCGTAATCAGAGCTACCATCTTTGAGGCCTATCCGGGCATGTACGTGGGCTGACATGCAGAAACCTAGACGGACACGGGGTGAGACGGTATTGGTGCCAGGCAAGCTGACCGAAGCGAAGAACCCGTGGAAGAAGTTGAGCATCTGGATTTAGTAGTTGTTCCTGCCTAGACTTAGAATCCCCCCCCAGAATCCTATACTACTTGATGCACTGCCGGCTTGAAGCTCTGTATGAAGCCTGACGGCTTGAGTCTTCAAGTGGGTTTTGAACCTAAAGGCTGGGGCAAAAATGAGACCCAAAAGCCCAGAGCCCGGAGCTTCAAGCAATTCGCAGGCACAGCAGCGCCCCAAGGACCTTGGGCTGGGGGGGGGGCTCCGGAGGGGGGCACCCAGCTTTGAGTCTCCAGCTAGTGACTTTCGGATTGTTGCTTTTGGTTGGGTAGGGCCCTTGCTGTGCTTCATGTCGTTGTTTTGACGAGTGTTCCTTCTTAGCATGAAGGTTCATGATTTCTTGTGTCTAAAAGCATGACGATGGAGGACCTCTTCGGCTTCGTCATAGCAGAGCTCGAGAGGAAGAGCACGCTGGATCCGAATGAATTCGAAGCCCACTTCTTGGAATGCCCCTTGCTGGCCACTCAGGCCCTTCTTGTCTTACCATGCAAGTAACCCAGAACGTCCCTAAACCCTGCCCTAAACGCAAAACCCCTAAAGGGCTCGATGCCTGGGACCCTAAATCCGGGGTCGTAAATCTTGGCTTCTCGGGTCCCAGGTGGAGGTTGCTTGCTTCTAAACGCCACCGTTTTGACCCATCGTAAAGCCATGAAACCCTGGTACAAGCCTGAAAACACCCTCTAAAGCCCTATGAAACCCGATCCAATGAGCCCTTAATCCCCCAAAACGAGGCAAGCGGCAATCTCGCACCTACGTTCTGGAAGACCGGTGTCCTTCCAACGAGGATCCCATGGTCTGGGTTCCCATGCGCCCGGGGCCCAGGACTTTAGGACTTGCAGGGGTTTGGGATTCGCGGATCGAGTGCTTGGGATCTTGGGTTGGACTCCGTGTTTCACCAGAGTCCTAGCCGAGGCCTCCAAGCTCAGGGTCCCGAAACCCTAAACCCTAAACCCCTAAACGCTAAACCCCTAAACCGTTCAGAGCCCAGAGCTCTGAGGCTACAACGACGACACCATCCTCCTGAAGCAGCAGAGGCTGGCCCATGAGCTCTGGATGGACGTCCTGTCCGTCGAGGCCTTGGGAGCCCGGAAGCAGGTTTTGGCCTTCGGATCCAGGTTTTTTTGAGGCTGCTTAAGGGTTTAGTTTTTTTTTTTTGGGGG